GAGGGGGCCTCAATTTGTTTGCGCCTCGGGCCTCCTAACTACTAAATCCGCCACTGCTTGGGGAACACAGCCAATTTCTTCTCCCAGCTACTACCTCTTTAAAAAAATCATTTCATCCTTAAAAGACTCTCAGGCCACTATAATAATACACCCGAATCTAGGACCGACACCTTTGGACAGCAAAGGAGCAGAGGATCCTTTTAATCCAACATTATCAGGAAAGGATTCCAGAGTGGCAAAGATCCTATCAAGGGAATTTTTAGCAAGTAGATTTCTCTCTGTGAAAACTCTCACTTTCACAGGTAGGCTAGACTACCTGAAGCATTCTTTCTATGCATTGATATTATGGGCAAAAGTATTTTATTATATACAATTGATGAAGCAAAACTGTTGTATCAGTGTTTCTTAACGTTTGTGCTCTCGGGACCCTGTTCCCTTCTAAAATTTATGGATGATCCCCCAAAGAGCTTTTATTTGTATGGGTTGCTTTTAACTTTATTTATCATATTAAAAATTAAAACTGATACATTTGCTGTCACAGCCACTTCTTATGATTGATTGATTGATTGATGGGATTTTAATAATGCATTATTAATTTATCAAATTTAGATACTGCCCATCTCACTACCGGAGTGACTCTGGGTGGTTTACAGATACAAACCATAAATCTATGTAAAAGAGACTTAATTGAAAAACAGAATGAAAACAAAGTGCAAAATAAAATAAGAACAAAATTTAAAAAGCAACTTAAAACGCAGAGGGAATACCCTCAAGCCACCAACCAATCTCAGGGTCACATGTGACTCTTCAATCCCCATGCCATGTGGACAAATCCAGGTCTTCATGCTCTTCTGGAAGGCCAAAAGAGCTGGGGGCTATCTCACCTCTGGAGGCAAAATATTTTATAGGGGGCTGGCAAAGGCAGAGAAGGTCCTGCCAGTCAAAATTCTTTAACCAGTCCCGGTCCATAACAGGTCCCTGTCTGACCTGATGGGGTGAATTGATGAAATTGGGACAAGATGCTTCCTTGGATATTATTTTTCAACACAGGCTGGCAAATTTGATGTTGCAGACCCTTAAGAGGTCTTAGGGGACACTCAGGGGTCCTAGAATCACATTTTAAAAAACAAGTCTATATTATTATAAATAATATTGGTTTAAATTAATTAAAAGGCTAGTTCATTTTTTTTCTATGACTACAACAAATACTATGTAAATAACGCTGGTTGATTTTGAACTACTAAAACTTAATTGCATTATAATAAGTGTGCTATTAACTTTATATATTTAGCATGACCCCCCCCAAAAAAATTATTTTTACCTGTCCATTATGTTTGTCAGAAGGTCTCATTAGTTATGGGCAGAGTATGTGGGGTAGAATGGAAACAATTTATTTTTAGAAAGCCCTTCATAATTTGAGTGGTAATAAATACAGAAACAGATGCAGAAAAGATGACCTAAGTGAAATTTTTGCTGGGAGAAACCAGAGATGGGATCTCCTGGGGGGCACAGACTACAGATCCCACCAACTACATGCCAGGACCCAATTTCTGATGATAGATAGATGGATGGATGATAGATAGATGATAGATAGATAGATAGATGATAGATAGATAGATTTTCCTCAGAATAAAAACATTACAAATTTTAAGTTAAAGAGAAATAGGAAAAATAATAAGAAAGAAAATAGAAATAAAGAAGATAAAAATGAAGGAAAAAGAAACAATAAAGAAGTGGTTTCTAATCTAGGGAACAGCAGTTATAAGCACATTTTTATTTTACCCTTTCTTACTAAGATTATATCAAAGTTTCTTTCTTTCCATAATCTACCCTAATAATCAGTCCATAAATATTAGATTTTTTCTTTTTTGCAGCAAAAAATAATATCCACTATTATTCTACAAAGAAAAGCAACAGTTCTGCTTCTATGAGTTTACTAGAAGGGATTCAGTTTTGAAGTAATAGCGATCTTTAGTATCCCACCGAAACACTACAGGCCACATGCTTCTGCACTCCCCAAACCTCCATACAAGGGTAAAAGTCCAGTTTCCAATTTGTCACAGGCTACTAGTCCTCAAGTTATGACCATCACTAGAACTGGAAAATGCTAAGCAGTGTGGTCATTAAACAAAGCATCATATGACTGCACCCAATTTCATGATCTGTTTGCTATGGTTGTTAAGTGATACATCACATGACTGTGATCTGTGACCTGCCCTGCCAGCTTCCCTCATTGGCTTTATTTGTTGAAAGCTGTTGGGGAAGGTCACAAATGGCAATCACAGGACACTATAACTGTTGAAAATGCAAGCCAGTTGCCAAGTATCCAGACCACAATCATGTAGCTGCAGGGACATAAGTGTGAGGGCTGCTCATAACTTCAGATGGTCACTAAACAAATGGTTGTAAGTCAAGACCTGTAAAGGTTTCCACTTTCTTCAAGTATGAGAACTCACACCATTTTAACCGTAATTTGAGCCTTATTTATTAACTCTTCTTGGACAAATTCTGCTTTCAATTGAATGAAAGAGGAAACTACAGTTTGTTATAGATTACTAATAACTGCCTAGAATTTACTTGGTTTATTATGATTAATATATAAACTGACAAAAGTGATCCAGTAAGCTAACATACCTTTAGTCTGATTTCATCCTAGGCAAACATTTTAAAAAGAGAAATTATAATATTGAATTCTAAAAAAGACAAAAGCCTTTTAAAAAAAAGATTTCTTATTTTTCTCTATCTCAGCAGCATCCCACACAGGCAAGCAGTGCTCATCCAATATGCTTCCTATTTTGCAATAACCACCACAGGACCTAATCATGTACACTCAGACTTAGATTCTAACTCATAACAGTAGACACAAAGTGATTTGGAAGTGAAACTTGTAGTTCTATTCAGGACAGTGATATTCCTACAACTAACTCTTGCATTGCTTGTCCTTTGCATCTCACTTTAACAAAAAGCCAAATATTTTAATACAAACAGTTACAATAGTAGCAACATCATAAAATAACTAACTCAGAGATATTCTCGTTTGGCCTAGCAAAGAATGTCTCTTATAGGATTGTGCTTGCTTTATTTTAAAACAATAAATAAGGTTCTTTGGTCAGATCAATTTCCACAAATATAATAAATTACTCAGTTCATACAATTCAGGTTGCTTCAACTGGATGACTGCTTTAACATCTTTTCTTGTTTATGTTGTGCAAAATGTTTATGTGTGTGTGTGTATATATATGTACACACATTAGAATACATATACGTTCACGTATGTGCACTTAATAGTTGAAATAACCACTTCATACAATGAAGTAATAATTCTGCTGCAAAAAACATTATTGAGTTAGCTGCTCTTTTAAATGCAACAACTTTTCCCCTGAATTACTAGCCTTCAGTAAAGTAACGATAGATATGAACACAGTATGTCAATGTTACAGTTGACGATAAAACAATTCTTATAGCAACACTTGGTACAAATACATTGTTTGCCTCCACACACAAACTCATAATAGCCTGGTTTGCATGACAAACCCAAAAAATCCAACATCATCTCCAAACTTAGTGGTGGGGTATGTGTGTGTCTGTGCATGTGTGCACCAGACCACTTTTCTCATTTACCTAAAAATAGGTTCCATTTAATTATGTGGAACATATTTCTGAATGGGCAAATGCAGAATTGTTCTGTTACTCTTGTATCACACTCTTTTTTCTATTTATTTACTGCCACCGCACAACCGTTACAAACCTAACTATTATAAAAAAAAATTCAGCACAATTCTTAATCCAATCCCTAATTATTCTTCCATTCAGAGCAATGAATACAGGGCCACAGCAAAATGTAATTATTTGCAAAATTACTCCTGAAAAGTAAACTTTTGATTCCAGGTATTATCAGTACCATAACTCTTGTCATTCACAATAAACTTCAGTCATGAACAGATCAACTTCTTATACCTATAAAAATGTAACCTTTCAAACCTACTTTTTCAGTTAAATCTTTCTAGTTTTACTAAAACAACATATTTTCCCAGCTTCATGCCTGTTGTTTTATCCTGATATATATACACACATATGGATACCTAGCATATGACACTTGTTGACATCACATCTATACTACACAATGCCAGTTCGTTGTTATATGTACATGTACTAAAAAGACAAAACTGACACCAAGTGTCTGAAATGTGTTCCTATGCAAAAGAAATCACACTTATTTTCATATTTTTGCTATTAATCTTGCAGTGAGAACTTTACATGAAACAGTTCTACCAACCTTGCAAATCAAGTCAGAAATGCAAGAATAACTTTTTAGTTGATAGAACTGGTTTTTTCATTTATTTAAAGATAATCTACATTCAGAAATTATATAGAACTCTAGAAATTATAGTTCTATAGACAAACGTTCTATCCAAAAAATATTTTGGCTTTAAAGCAGTTTTAAAATTCCAGATTTATACTAATAATTGAAACTGTAAGGAGGAAAGTGAATATTGTAAATGAAAAAAAGTTTTAAAATAAAGTATTAATTTTTAAAAATAATTGGTAAAATATCACATCCTAATTCTGGCAAATGGCTTGTCAATAAAGACCAAGAAAAGGTGGGAATTCCTATAAGAAGAAAAAGATAACAGATTCAATCCTGCTTCTGTAATAAGTTAATTTTCAGTATACCAATTTTGATGATTATATGCCAGGCAGAATGGCTACATTCGTACTATTCACTTTACTAAATCATTCCCATTTTACATCTGAAACACAGACGTATGGATAAATGTGCCCCACAACAACTCTGTTCAGCCTAATGCCTTCCAGATGAATTAAATTTTAGCATCCTAGTCAGACAGTTAATGTATGCATTAACAAGCCTATCTGGAGGGCACCAGGTTGCAGAAGGCTGCCCCATAACTGACTGGCCCTTCCTACCTCCCTCTATTTGTGCCTCTCTACAGCGGCAGAGGGCCACAGTAAAATAAATTTCCAGAAAACTTATTTGGTACCCCAAGGCTGCTTACAGATGATAATCCTGGAGTTGGTGGATTTGCAGTAATTGACGATTCAAGCCTTTCTATCAAGTTTCCTAAGGCGATAGGAGTCGGATTTGGATCTTGCTTTTCCGATACTTTCATGAGACTGTATTGGTTTTCTTTTCGCAGGTCAGCATCTCCAGGTAAATAAGGCATGGAGGGTAGATCCGTTTTCACAGTTCTGCTCCCTAGAGCAGACTCTTGGTAAGAATTATTTTGCACATGCTCTGGAGAAGAAACTGGGGTTGATAAGAGGGCAGAAATGGTTGCACTGGGTCTAATTTCTATACAGTCTCCTAGCTGGAGGTCTGCCCTGTTTTCAGAGTCGGTTTCCTTGCTGCAGGTGGCTGTAGCTCTACTTTCCATCCTCAAGTGAATTTCTTCCTCCGGATTTGCCTCAGCTGTGATGGATGAGGCTTCTGAATCCACCTCCTGGTCTTCCTCCGATGGGGAAAAAGACTCAAAATCCAGAAGCCTGGCAGAGTCTTTGGGGCCACCTAACAACGACGAACTGCAAGGCTCCAGGGAGTCCCGGCTGGAGTCGTTCATTTCCAGCTCCTGCAAGGAATCAGAGCCATCTTTTGAGCCATTCAAATATTCAGCATTGCCCATGGAGGCCAAATCCTGCAGCCTGCGCAGTGGGGTATAGCAGGAGGATGGGTCTTGGCCGAATGTAGCCTTGGACGCTGCTGGAGGGAGCCCCACGGGGCACCCATTAGGGAGCTCGGGGCTACGGCTCCGACCCTCCCCCGCGTAGGGGCTGCTGTGCCCGTCCTCCTCCAGCGCATCTAGCCCCAAAGGAGTGGCGAAAGAAAGCAGGCAGCCCCTCCTGCTCACTTCGCAGGCCTGATCCATTCTGTGAGGCGGGCATCAACCTGTGAAGCAAACACAGCAACAATGGGGTCAGCCAAGCCCTCCATGGCCTTGTTCTCCAAAATGGCAGCCATTCCTCCTGCTGCTCCTCCTCCTTTTCTCGGCGGCCGCTGCCGCGGCAGAGGCCCGACAGCCGCCTTCTATTCTGGCCCGGAGGCCGCAGAAGGTCTAACAAGCCGGGTGCGGGCTCCTTCCCCCAACTCTCCACACTTCCAGCAACGTTGCCTCCTAATCGCCACAACCTGACGTTGCCTTCAAAACAAGGGCAGCATCCATCCTGCTGTTGCTTGCCGGGAGCACCGCAGAGCAGAGCAGGCCTGGCCTGGCCTTGCCGCACTCCCCCCCCCCTCCTCCCCGAAAGCTCCAGCTGCTACACAGGGAACGGTTCAGCAAAGGCTTCTGGACTTTTCATCCCTCCTCCTCTTCCTACCGCCCGGCTTCCCTACTAGGCCCGACAGAAGCTAGCAAGGATTCCCCCCCCTCCCCTCCCCTTTTTCAAAGGCCCATCTGGAGTGGGCTGCAGCGCCCTTGCCATGTCCGGATGGAATTTGGCTGAAGGAAACGCTTTTTAAGCCTTTTGGAGAACGGGGAAGTCGTTCCTGAAATTTACCTGCCCCCTCCCTCAGTGCGGGGCCAAAACGAAGAGCCGATTTGGCTCCTCCGGCCCCTACCCGCTCCGATTCCAGCACAGCAGCCTGCCGGCCTCTTGCGCTTAGCTTGCTCGCTCTTTTCCGCTTACGCGCGCCCCCGCTGCACGCGCGCCGCCGCCGCCGCTGCTGTCCCCCGTGCGCGCTCGCGCGCGCCCCCTGACTGACTCTTGGGGTTCAGCAGCTGCAAACGCGGCGCTGTCCAATCAGAGCGGGCGCGCCCGCTCCTGTCCCCTTTGGGCACCACACGGCCCTGTGCTTGTCGCTGCCCCCTAGTGCTCACTGCTGCAGCCCTTCCTGCCCCACCTATTGCTCCTTCCACTGACTACCTCCTTAGCCTGCTCCCGAGGGTTGGTGACGGCGAGCAATTCTGCCCGGCCTAACCTCGGCCTGCCTCCCTCCCTTCCTTCCCACGGGCACATGGCGCCGCGGCTCTCCTCTCTGCCCGCGCTGGACAAGCCCTGCCTTTCTCGCGGCCGGCGCCAGCACCGTCCTTCCACGCAGCCTAAACAAGTCGTTTCGGACCAAGCCACCTCGGCAGGGCGCCGCCTGCGAGGCCAGGCCTCTGCTAGCTCCCGCGCCAAGCGGTGCGGGAGAGAGCACGAGCGAGCAAAGATGGTGGCTGTTCAGCTCGTCCACCCACCCGCTGGGCAGCCGCCGCTTTCCTTGCCAGCTTGAAATAAGGGGAGGGGGAGTCCTCCAGACGCCCCGTGACCACCAGCCAACCGGGCTTAGTGCCGTCCCGGGGTTCTCTCCGGTGCACGTGGTGCCGCTGAGTCGGAGCTGCCCTTCACCACATCCATGGTGTTGACCAGGGCGCCTGGGCGACCTCGTAAACCTGTTCCGCTTCAGGAGGGGGGAGGGGAGAGGAAAAGCGGGTGGGCTTTCTGCCCCTGAGATTAGGAGCAGGACGTAACCAGGCCGCCCCCCGTATGCTCGCCCAAACAATGAGGGAAGTTGAGCAGGTCAACTTGTTCCCTTTTTGCGGCCAACAATGGGGTGGCGGGTTGAGGAACAGCTCCGTCGCTATTCTTTTCTTCCACCCCCGCCCCACCTCCTTCGCCGATTAAGGGAGGGGAGCCGTCTCTCCTTAAATAAATGGCTGGGCTGTGGCGAGAGATCTGGCTGCATTTTGGCCCCCACCGCCTCCTAAAAGGGGCCAGGTTCTGTTTCTCCCGCGCCAGAGACGAGAGCAGGGCCACTCTGCCCCCAAGAACCGTGGGGTGGCAGAGGAAGACGAGGATAGGATCTCTACATAATGAAACCAGGCCGCTCCCCAAGCCCTCCCGGGGGGGGGAGGGAGATCCACTCCCCAGCCAATGGCTTGCCCAGCAGTGAGGTTCGTGGCTGTCCTTCTTCCTCCCCACAGATTGGATGAGGCTTCTCCCGCCTGACTTGGGGAGAAGAAGCCCGCTCTGCCGCTGCGGGCGCTGAAAGGGCCACCCCCGCTGCCGCAGCTGGTCTCCAGGGCCGGCGAGAACGCCGCGTGCCTGTTGCCTTCAGCAGCGCCGCTTCCTCTTAGGTGGGGCAGGGCGGCCGGGAGCCTCGCAGGGGAGCGACCACAGCGTAGCCACCGCCGCCGCCGCCGAATCCCCAGCTCCGGCGGGAGGTGGTGCGGTGCAGACCCCGAACGACGGCCCAGAGTTACCCAGGCTGCAGCAGCTTCTCCGCTCCTTCGCAGCTGCTTCAGGCTCCTTGACATCGGTCAAGAGCGGCGGGCCTTGACCGTGTGGTTCTCCCTTCTCGTTTCCGCTTGCAGCTCCGGCTTCGCCTGGGAGCAGAATGCAGTCGCCCCCGCCCGCCCCCCACCCACCCACCCCCACCTGCTTTGTACAGCAGCCATTGGAGTTGCGAGCCNAAAAGAGCTATCACTTTTTTCTCCCCAGCCTCTGTGTAGTAAAGGTGGCATGCACAATTTTCTTTTTTACCTGTTTACTGTAATAATTAATAAAGTTTTTGCATCCTTAGACTGTTTTATATAGGCCTTATTTGTTAACATGCTTATCCATGGTTTACTTATTTTATTTGCATTGACTCTTTAATATTTTTCCAAATAACTCAAGGTGGTGAACATATACAACACACCTTCCTCCTATTTCCCCACAATAACAACCCTATGAGGTGGGTTGAGCTGAGAGTGACTGGCCCAAAGACACCTAGCTGGCTTTCATGGCTAAGGTGGGATCTGAAATCACAGTCTCTCGCTTTATAGCCTGGTGTCTTAACCATTAGACCAAAATGGCTCTGATCATGGTTTAATAATGGTTTATGATTTTTGTAGGTTCATCAAGAAGGTGCTTGATTAAAACCTGGCTGTCACAGCCGTACCTGATGTGTCATGCAAGCAAAACCATTCCCAAGTTGAAAATAGTCCTTTTAACTAGAGATAGAAGGTAGGAACATTTGCAGTTCTCCAGTGATCACTGTCTTTAGGGAAACCTGGTTCATCCATGGGTATCTCTGCTGCTTATTAGAATAACTGAATAGGATCACTTTGCCAGTTGTAGTTCAGATTCAATTTACACATCTGGGGGAGGCGGCCAAAGGTGATCCTGGTTATTCCCAGTCAAGCTGCCCAGTGAAACCGAGGGAAAGAAAAAAGGAGAGAGGAGTGGAGGTTCCTTTTTAGATGTTGTCAACCACAAAACCCAGCATGCTCAGCATTATGACGAGCATTAGTCCGGAATATTAGGACTGAGTTAGCACACCATGCTTATCCACAACTCAACACAATTCTCTTAACAGAATAATCGCAAAGGCTAGGTTAATAAAACACACAAGCATATCAACACAGCTGATGTTTCTTCTTTCTCTGCCTGGGATTTTCATTGTCTCCTTTCCTTCACCTCTTCTTTCCCCAGTTTGATTTTTTTTTCGCTCAGCTTTTTTTTCTACCTATTCTCCCATAGGAGTGGTATGCTAGCTATCATTTTTTTTAACCATGGTTAATCGATTGCCCGCATTCATTGAACCTCAAAAGTTGTTGACTTGAACTCCGTTTTCCATACTGTGCAAAGACAGTAAAAATATTGTTTCAGCAAATATTTCCTTCAGCTAACCTTTGTACATTTCTGTTTAGGCCTCAACCATGGATACTTCCAGCTTCCTGGGAGCTGCAGCACTTTTATCACTTCAAATTCCCACTCCTAAAATCTTGGCTACAGTTCCTTTTGTCTCCAGGCCTTGGAGATGCATTCCCTTCCAGCTCAAATTGACCTTTCTCTTGCTTTACAGAAATAACGATCAATCATTTTTGGACCCATCTTTCCCAAAAGAAGATAAATGTTCGTCAGTTGGTAGCTGAGGATCTGCAACCTGGCTTAATATAGTTCCATGTGTAATATAAAATACCCTAATTGAAATATAAGAGGGAAATTATTATTTTTAATTAATAATCACAAGTAAATTATCTGAAACAGTATATTCTGGGGCAGTTCTGATGGTAACCTTATTGCCTTTTTCTTAGTGCTTCTAAATGTAGACTAAACCCTGAGATATTTGTAACATATTGGATCACATGATCTCTGTACTAGATGATCTGCACTGGTGATGGTTTAAGGCTCAGGAGAGTTTATTAGTATCCTGTCCAGC